AAAGAGTAAAGAATGTTTAGCCTCATAATATGAAGGGATCTAATAAGAAACTAGCAGCTAAAACGTTGAAATTCACTAAAAACAGAATATGCTTTCTACTAATTAAAGTTAAGGGTCTGTACACCAAACATTTTAGTCTTCGTGAAGCCATGCTTAGGACGAACAGCAAAATATTTTGAACAGTTCATCCTAACTCTGGCATAACTACAGTTTATATCAAAGTTGCATTTGGCAGGGTGTCACAGGCCGTTTCAACGTTAAAATCCTACCACTAATCGCGTACATTTCAATTTCTGAAGCAGTGTTCACCGGGGGCCTATGAAAGTAGAGATGGTATAACTGCTAGTATTACAAGTAAACAGGTTTAATTTTAACTTTATAACAATAAGCCAACCGCTAAAAAACGCTCGGATGTCCTCCTCCTTGGATGACCATGGAAGACCACGAACGCGTACTACGTTATCGTCAGTGCGCCCCGACTGCTCCTGACGATATTCGCCATTGCCATTCTCCTGATCACTCTTCTTAGAAGAATCGTACATTACAAATCAAACACAATCGTAAACAACGACTTTAAGACCAAATCCGCTTTATCATGGAAAAACTTATTCATTTTGCTTCGTACGGTTCTGACGACGAGAAGATAAATCCTGCTGATCACCTATGACACTTTTAATAAGTACTGTACAGCAGTTAGTGTACCCTCAATTACTTAAAGTCAATTTTATTAGCTGGAGCGACGGTTCTTGCCATCAGCGTCATCTACTTTCACCTCGTAATTCTGCATTAAGCGCATCTAATATCATGCTCTTTCGATCCCAAAGGGATCATATGAATTGTTCATAGACACGGAAAGTTTGTCATCGCCATAATCTTTAGTGTTTGCTCCATACGTAAATTTACTAAAATAAATCCCGACGTTTCTGATGTAATAAAAACCATCTGAATGAAACATTATATAACAACATGTATAACGGACAATTTTTTGCAACATTGTTCGATTCGCGGGGTCTAGAAATGTCTTAATAAAATTTATATGCGGAATAAACCCTTTGAAGATCATGACAATAAAGTCCCTGCCAAATTCATAAAGTGCGTATATTTGCAACATCAACTTCAAAATTTTCCACTAAACGATGAGCAACATTTAAAAAAAAGAATCGAATCTACCGAAATAAATTAAATGGATTAAATTGCCGCAGTTCAATTGAGAATGAACACATTATTTTTTGTTATCACATTACTTTTGAAAATAACAGGCGTTTATCTTAAGAAATTTTCCGGAAATCTTATGCATTGGTTTCAAATATTCAGATGCTTCACTCTCTGTAGTGGTTCGGCTTCACTTCAAACATTTCGACTTTATGGTGGTGCTATGGCGAAGTGCCCTCACTCTCGGGAGCGATCGCGATCGTAAGCGTTTCATTTAGTGCTTAGTAACGTAGCATAAGGTTGCAAAATGATTCTAATTAGAGATCTGTTAAATTTGAAAGATAAATGAAGTATGATCTTGCTTGCTACAGAGAGATTAATAATGAAAAGGATAAAAAAACTGTTTAGTCAAAGCTTAATATCTTCCTGAAAAAGCAATCGCGTGTTCCTGAATCATCAACAAGTGTCGAAGATTCGATGCTTTCAGCGAGCTATCCTCGAAGAACGCGAATCATTAGAAAATAAAGAAATTGAGGAGCCCATCGCTATGGCCTCCTCCCCTGTATCATCTTCCAGCATTAACTGTTGACTTTTCAATTACTGATATTTAGTTAGTTGCAGTAATTATTGTTTTATTCACTTATCAAATCTTCTTCGTCGTTTTCTTACCATTTTCCTTTTAACATGGATCAGCTAATTGAGCCAACCTCCTCCACATATTTTTGTCGTTGGCTAGATCTTCAGAGACTCCTCGCAATTTCATACCGTTCTTCACGACATCGCACCAGCTTTTCTTTGGTCTTCTCTTTATTTTCTTCCCTGATAGTATCAGTGCTTGGACCACATTTCCAACTTACTCGATAAGCCTTCTTTCCACATGACCGAACCAACGGAACCTGCTTTCGATAAGCCTTTCTGAAATTGATACTATCACTAGAATACCTTTCTTAAAGCTATTTCGGATGTGGCTTTTTCTGCTGACAACCACATCCTTCAGAGCATTCGCATTTCTATCGAGTTCAGCTGTTGCTCGTGTTTCTTCAAAATAGCAAACGTTCCGCCTGCCAGAAGCACAGGTCTTGCTATCGTTCTGTGCGCCTACCCTTTCCGTTTGATGGGCATCTTCCTGCCGTACAGTAGTCCGCTCATTTCTTTCCATTTGACTCTAAACTTTTTCCATCGATGTTTTACTTCGCTGTTGCCTTCCGCATTATTTTGCAGGATGGAACGAAGGTAGTTGAATTCTCGGGTTTGAGGCAGCAAACTCCCCGCTACTTTCACTGATTTTATGGCTTTCAATGTTTTTTCCACTAAAATTGCCCGCTATATTGCCGTTTATTTGCTTATTAAGTGACAGCAGTGTTTCATTTACTTATTTATTTGTCATATCAAATTCACATTTGATTTTGGATTTTTCAAACTTAAGAATATAGCCCATCATAAGTCGAAGAGCATATGTAGCTTACAAAATTTAAATATTTTTCAAGAGAACACGGTAAATGTTCTCAGGATGCCTTAAAAAAAAGGGAGGCGCCGGTATGAAGCCAAATTTCGCAAATTATGTTTTAAATAAATCCATAATTTTCATATGATGTTTTAAGAAATTTAAAACACACCGTTTTCACATGCAAATCATCCTCCCGAGTCGCCTCCATAAGCCGAACGTTTTTTGGTTGTGTCACGTTTATCCACAATGTTTTGAAATTTGCAACGATAACTGCGTCGTACTTATTTATCGATATTGCATGTTGGCTTCTTAAACGACGCCACTGATGTATCCGCTTTCATAAACAAATGTGCGCGCTCAAGTAAATAATTTATGCTAAACATTAAATGGAGTCATCCAGGCTCAAGATGAAATTCCCTGCTGCAGCTTTCGTTATCAGAAACGCACAGCATAGCGGATACACAGCGATTATCTCTGCTACAAACACCTGTGATTTTATATGCAGATAGACAAAAGGACTTTCGCTGGATACCATCTTTCCTTGTATTCTGCAGCAGTGTTCGACATTCCGGTTCTGCCAATCAACTTCGGCAATTAACAAATTCCCGTGTACCTTTGAAGCCTCGCGAGAAGAAGAAGCGCTTCGTTGTCTAACTAGCGCTCTAACGCTCATGGTACATTCCGAGTTCCCTCTGACGCTCAGAGAGTTTGATTTGCACGTGATCCGTTCGTCTTTGAGTAGCTCGAATAACTTTTGGTATTTCCATTGAAACACTCTATGGCTGAGTGACAGGCCGCTCTGAATCCGGCATGTCAAGCAGGTAAGGTACTTTCCTAATCTCAACATTTACAGAGGTGTGACCTGTTCCCAGCGTGCACTGTCATTCTATACATGGCATTGCTACTTAACTTCCCAATACGCCTGGAAGCCAAAGCTCTTGTAAGCAGTTACAGTGTCATTCTTGTCAGCATACCATCCAAAAACGACGGCTACACTGAAGCAATGCACACAGCATTTTTGTGCCAAGCGTTACTGCCTTATCAGGAAAGCATTGGATAGGCTAAAGCCACGGCAGCCAAGAATAATTAAACTGCTTAAATCTGATCAGATGTGCTGTAGCTGGATATGACTGGGTCCGGACGAAAAAATTGGTAAACCTCCTCTAGCCTTTCTTTTCATTTCTGAACTTGCAATCTCCGAAGCCGGACACTTTCCTCATAAAGTTGCACTTCCGGGCATTCAAAAACGCCGGCCTTCGCATATGTATTCTATATGTTCACAATGGGACCATCACGTGACAAAGCACGCCTTCCGCATTACTGCCTACTACCACCTGATCTGCGTACTCTAGGTCAGCAAGATGTCTAGCCGGATATCTTGCAAGACAGCTTTCCTTTGAAATGATATTCTCGTGTATGTCAGGGTCAGTGTAGAAATTCTAAACCAACGTTTAAAGGCCAGAAACTTTAGAAAGAAATCGGCCGGATGAATTAGGAAGGCCAGCTCTGAGCCAACTAATCCAAATTGTGTAATTAAGTCAGAGCTCAATTTGAGGACTAAGCTGTCTGTATTTAAGTCGAGTTTCTTCCCATGCTCCACTTTTAAAATGAGTCGTGGACTTGTAAATTTCCACTCCCGACTGAAGCAGGCTCTTGAGACAAACCGCTGACTCCCGACATGGTCTAGAGTTCAGATATGCGAGAGAGCCTCAGTTTGCAGCTGCTACTTCTCCAGATTGAGAAGTCACACCTACGATGGTTTTGGTACTCTTGCGAATGCTTAAAGAGAGAAACTAGAAACAGCTACAACTTGCTCAACCGGCCGGTCGAAAACCCAGGGGAACATCCAAGAATAACCCGGGACATGTCTCGACAGACTCTGCTCGAGACTCGGGCTGTTATCTGACGAAACAAGAATTATGGCATATAATCAGCAACGTTCGAAACATTGTCTGACGCATCTGCCTCAGCTACCCAAAACGAAAAGCAGTCATCGAAACTGACTACTTGAAGTTGAAAAAGAAAAGCGAAAGCGCATCTCCTGGCAATTACTCAAATAACTCCATTTCAAAGTCAACAGCATAAATGGTTTTTGCATGCATCTTTTCTAGAATAGAAACGATTTTCACTCGTACCCGATAACATTTTAAACCTTGGCGCATCTTTGAATGACATACTGAAACATCTATGAAGTCAAGGTCAGCGAAAGTAGCAAAACCAATGGAAGTGCACTACTCCCTTATCCTACAGAAAGTGAAAACTTTGAGTGCAGAAGTACTCCGTCCAGAAGCCTGCTTGATTTTAGTAG